GCAGCGCCTCCGTGGACTCAGGAAATGATCGCCATCAATATTGCCACTCGTGCCAAGCAGGTCATGACTGCCAGGCTGTGCCCGCGAGTTTCTCCTGTCCGTGCGCGAGTCGTCCGCCGCGCCGGAAAGGAGACATCGGGGCCGAGAACGGCGACTGGCTGGACGTTGATCTCAGGAATGACGGCCGCGAGGTGTCATGCCCTGTGGGACCCGACCCAAGTAGGGATAGGCTCACAGGCTGTGACTCAGGCATCGGGGGGGCTTCTCTCCGTCGCAGCTCGTCTATGATCAGAACCCCCGACTTCCCCGCGAGCTGTGCTCCGACGACGCCCGAGGCGTGCTGGGAAGGCGAGACATGATCGTCCCTGCGTTGGAACAAGATTCGGCCAGGGCCGAGTTCGCGAGGTCCCAGGAAGTCCGCGCCGCGGCCAGTAGACTGGCAATCGAAGCTACTCCGCGCGAGAAGATCAGCCGTGCCTCGAGGGCGAAGGCGTTTACTCCAGCGCAGTGGGTCTTCGCGCGACGAAGCCTGAGTCGAGCGTCTTCCTGGGCCGAAGCACTCGGGCGGCGACGGACCTGCTGGACAGGTCCGGGGGCGGTCGCCCCGCGCGAAGGGGGGGCCGCGCGGGTGGCTGCGAGAGCCAGGTTGCGCAAATACTCAGCGGATCAAGTCCGTTTGGCCAGCCCAGAGGAGGAGCATGGGCCACGGCTGACCTGGGGCCCCCAGCGGCAGCAGTCGCCGAGACAGGTGAGCACCCGTCGCACCGACGTCCAAAGAGAGGGGCCACCTCCAGACGAGGCCTGGGACGAGCCGGCTCGGGTCGAGCCCGGCGCCGCTCCTCGTCTCCAGGGGGTCGCGGGGCCTGCTCCCCTGGAGCCGGAGGAAGTCATCGCCGCCCCCCCCCCCCATGTGCCTCCGTCGCCAGGCCGGGTCTCCGTCCAGGTCCTGAGCTCGCCAGGAGGCCCCGATGGGGCCCCGGCGCGCACTTGGGAAGCGGGCTCGGCGGATGCTCGGGAGGGCTCGGCCCCGTCCATCTCTGAGGTGCTCGAGAAGGATCGCCCAACATCTCTCCAGGCGACACCTCCCCCGCCCGCCATGTCTAGCGCGGTCTCGGACTGAGACCGTCGGAGAGACGATGGCGTGTCGGACGCGCCTTGGATCCTTTCTTCCTCCTCCTCCCCTGGCGCCATCGCTCCCGCGTCGAACCCGCTTCCCCAGGTTGCGCCGGCTCTCTCTCTGCCCCCTGCCTCCGGGCCCAGGCTGACCCAACCAGAGAGAGGATGCGCCGCGTTGTATCGGGCGAGCCAGGGCCCCCAGTGCCCCCCCAGAGATCAAGAGGCAGAGAGTTGATCCAGAAGGCAGCGCCGCCTCTGGAGGGGGGGCGCCTTCTGCAGAATCTAAACTCCCAGCTCCCATTCCTCTCCCCGGCCCCTCCGACCCCCCCCCTTTCCTTCTCGGGCGACAGCTCGGGAGATCGTCGCGGGAGGAAGGGGCCGCGGGGCCGCGGCGGACGTCGATGTCGGCGCAGCCGATCGCCGCGCGACCTCTGCACAGAGGACAGACCTCTCGATTTCTTCTTTTCCTCCGGCGGCGCGGGCGCGGCCCAGGCGGCCCGGGCCAGGCAGATCGAGGGGGCCGAGGTTGATCAGGCGGACGTTGCGGAGTGGAGCGAGGGGGCGTTTGCGGCGAGCAGGGGGGAGTGTGGGGGGGGCCTCGGGACTCTGCGACATGAAGACAGGCAGAATAAGTTCGCCATGTCTGACCGGAAGGAACAGTAAGCCATGGTGGGGGCTGGAGGTGTCGACGTCATTTCCCCTGCCCAGGCCAACGTTGTGAGGGGGTCTCAGCCAGGCCGCGTTATCTCGAGCTGGATGGTGCGTCGCTGGAAGCCCCGTGGGGGGCGCGTTCCAGGGGCCCTTGGCCAAATCTCGCTGGCGCGTTCATAGCCGCCGCGATGCCGACTCCGGTTCTCTGCAGGCGTGCGCCCCCGCTCCGCGAACATCCGGTATTATTTGTCCAGGTGTTCGTGGGCCTTGGCACGCTGGCTGACATAGCAGACATTGAAAACGCTTTCTGCCAGCCCGACCCTATGACTCGTTCGCAGGGGCATAGATGCGTGGAACCGCATGAACGGCGTAGAGCTACCTCGGGGGCCCTCGATTCTGCTCAGGGCCACGGTCCACGGCCTGGATGATGCGCCCGTCGCCTGGAGTCGAACTGTGGTAGAGTAAATAGAGAATCTCGGGTTCAAGAAGAGCCTGTTGGAGCCCAGCTAGCGGGTGCGTTGGGGGCCTGGGGGGGGGGGGGGGCAGGCTGAGCGTTATGCTGCTAGAAGTCGTCGATTTTCCCCCGCCGCATCTCGGGGCTGGCTTCGCCGGCAGCTCGAAGCGCGTTTCAAGTGAGCAAGTGTCGCGATTGTCGCGGGGCCCGTAGAGTTCGCTGGCAGACGCGCGATGATCGGCCCCCGCAAGGTCACCCTGGACCAGGAGAAGTATGTACTAGAATAAGTACAGGCCCTTCCTGTTGCTAGAGGTGGGCTGGCTCGTACAGACCCCCCAGTGGGCGCTGCAGAATGTATGTCGCCCCGTTCTCTCGTCTGCAAGTTCAACTGGGTGGGTGGAGAGACCGGGTCAGAGGCTGCAGGAGTTGCCGGCGTTCTAGCCAGCCGTCCTAAGTCAGCCACGACCGAGAACACCTTCTTGGCGAACAAGCTGGTGCGACACCTTGGTTCGACGGCCTCTCGAGGCCTGACTGTCTGGAAGCTGGGTCCCGAACGCGGGGCGTTTATATGGTTCTCGGATGCCGGGGGCGTAGGAGTTGCGGGCGATTCCTGGATGGCTGCGGCCGCCTCGAGGACCCCGCCCAGGGAGCGTGGGTGGCGTTGGCTGCAGACAAGGATGTCGTTAACAACCAGTCGGCCGGAGCCTCGGTTCTAGGTTGGAGAAGCTCCAAGTTGCGTCGGAAGGTGTCGTCCACGCTAGCAGGAGAGATTCAAGCTTTGTCCGCAGCAGCTGCCGAGGTAGAGTACCTCCAGATACTCTATCGCGAGATCGTCTTCCAGGATGTCAGCGTTCGTGACCACGCCAAAGGATCCAGTCCCTTTACGCTGTCCTCCGCGCAGACTGAAACCTGGGCTCGAGAGCGCCAAGTGCACGTGACCGATGCCAAGAGCATCTATGATACCATGATGAGGGGGGGAGTGCAGGAGCACGAGACAGACGCACGGTCATATATTTTGAGATCGTGTGTGAAGCGTTGAAAAAAGTTGAAGGCCGACTTCCTTGGGCCCGTCAAAGCAGGATGCTGGTGGATTCTCTGACGAAAGACGACGCTACCACAGGAAATGTTGCCCTGTTCGACCTGATGGCCAGTGGCCGTCTCATCCTCTGTGACGAAGGGAGAGATGGAACGTCGTCGCCACCTGCCGACACTCAAGAGTCGGACCCAGGCTACCTCCAGGAAGCTCCTAGACACTTCATCACGCATCTCATGGCGCGAGTTCGAGCTCCAGATCCAGGATGGTGGTGCGGTCGGTGGTGGGTTCCTCCTCCTCCTCCTCCTCCTCCTCCTCCTCCTCCTCTCTCTCTCTGTCTCTGTCTCTCTCTCTCTCTCTTCCTCTTCCTCTTCCTCTTTCTCTCTCTGTCTCTCTCTCTCTCTGTCTCTTTTTTTTTTTCTCTCTTTCTCTCTCTCCCCCCCATCAGCTCGCCTTGTAGCCCTCATCCGCCTCTCAGCGCCAATAATCCGTTTGGGCAGTTTGTTTTCTCCGCGCCCAGTTTCTTTCTAGGGAAGTTTTCGGCCCACGGTCGTCATCCCGACAGACTGTGGGACACTGGTGACTTGGGTTTCCCAGTGTTTGCAGGCTGCAGAACCTACGATATAGTCGTACATGTCAAACAGGTGAACTCATTGCGCATATAGCTTTTATCGTATAGAGTGTCGCCATAGTTTTCGACATGCTGTTCCATGTTGGCCCAAGGGTAAACATGTATTGCGTTGCTGCTGCCGCACACACACACACACCCGCGGCGTTGCGGCCCACATCCAGGTTCACCCACACGCGCATTTGAGACAGGTGCGTTCTTTTTATCCTTTTCACATGCTTATCATTCGTTGCCTTCGTGTCTGTCATTTCTATGTTACTTCGGTTCTCTTATACATTTCGGGTTTGTTGCCCTTCCCGCCGGCGCTACTGGCGGGAGGGGTCGGGGGCCGCGTCCGTTCGGGAAACCGCAATTCCGAAGTTGGAAGGCTGCGCACGGCGGCCCCCGCGCCCCGCTTGTGGCATCTGCGCGCCCGCCCGCGATGCCCGAGCCCGCCAGCAGTCGCAACGCAACCCCCCCCCCCCACCTGTGAGCACGACGAAGGCTTCTTTGTTTGAAACAGCCCTTTCTTTGTGTTTCGCAACGCACGTTTTCAGCGGTTCCTCATCGTGTCCATCGTCGAGGCGTCGTCGTCGTGGGAACGGTCAGAGGGGGAGAGGGGCGAAGTCTCGGGGAAGCGGTAAGGGGAGTCGTGGGCGGGAGGGCGGGGGCGGGGGAGGACGAGCGGCAGGAACGATTGGCGGGGCACGGTGGGGAGAGGCGGAGGCGGGAGCGGCGGGGGGCGCTGGGAGGGGGTGCAGCCCCCAAAGCCCCCACGCACGCATTTCAGATCGTGGAGTTGGCGTCGGTTCGTGCAGTTGGAGGTGGGGAGAGGGCGCACCAGACCCGAAAGAAAAACAATACGCACAAGTCACCAGTGAAAACCGACAGCAACTGCACACCCTGATTCCTAGACGTAGCAGGCGTCGGATTGCGCGCCAGCCGCCCCCCCCGATGGTTCGGATGGGGGCCTTCCCCCCTGACGCCTCGTCCATCGTCGAGCCGTCTGGCCGACGGGGGGGGGCGACGCGGCGACGGGGGGGCAAGGGGCGACGGCGGCGACGACGAAACGGCGACGACGACAACGACGAAGAAGACGATGACGACAACGACGCTGACGATGACGCCGACGATGACGACAGCGACGCGGGCGACGGCAGGTGTGTGTGCTCGACCCGCCCGGGAAGCCACGGGCGTGTCTGCGCTCGCAGGTGGCGGTGCCCCCGGCAGTCTGTTTTGCGGCACTTCGGCCAGCGCCATGCGCGCCTGGGCGCCGCGCGGCGTCGACGCGGGGCCAGCGGCGGCGCCGCCCTCGGCCGCGGACGGCAGCGAGGAGGACGGCCCGCCCCCCGCGGCCGCGCCCGCGCGGCCGCGGGGGGCGCGCCGCGCGCTGGCCGCCTCCGCCGCCTCGCTCGGGGCCGCGGCCGCGCTGGGGGCCTGCGCCGTGGCTGCCCGCGGCGGGGCGCGAGGCGCTCAGGAGGAGGAGGAGGAGGAGGAGGAGGAGGAGGAGGAGGAGGAGGAGGAGGAGGAGGAGGAGGAGGAGGGGGGGGGGGTCGGGAGCTCCGGCCTGTCGCGTCGCCCCGCTGGCTCTGGCCCGCCACGCCGCGGCGCGGCACGCTGTTCACGCCCGGGGGCCCGAAGCGCTCGCGTCCCGAGGCGTTGCCCGCTTCGCCCCGAGGAGCGAGGAGCGGCACCGTCCATCTGCTCGCCAGGCGCAGCGTGTCGTCGGGGCCTGTTCTTCGTTGACTCGGCATCGCTCGGGCGTGTGCGTGTTTCTCGGCGAGGCAGGCGCCAGAGAATCTGGACCATGCTGGAGCGTCTCTGGCCTCTTCGAAAGGAAACAGCGCGCACGAAACTGGAAGGATGTACGGACAATGGACTCCCAGGCGATGGAAAGTCAAAACATTGGGAGCGTTCTGTTGTCGGAGTTCGGGGGTCCTGTCTTCGGCGAACCAAAAACAGAACAAGCAACGGCAGCCCCAAACAGAAAAACAACGGCCGTTCAACAAAGGGACCGAACTGGAAGCGGCGCGACACATAATCCCAGAACCGATATAGAAAAAATGTCGATCTTGAGCACGGAGGAGGAGGAGGAGGAGGAGGAGGATGAGGAGGAGGAGGAGGAGGACAAAACGACGAAAACCGACAGTCCCTAAACCGATAGCGAGCACGGAAGGGCCGTGTCTTCACCTGCACCTGGGCCGAGGCGCGGCACGGGGCGCCGCGCGCGGCGGCACCGCCCTCTTCGAGGAGCGGGGGGGGGGCACTTCGGGGGCAGCGTCGGGAGGATCTCCTCCTCCTCCTCCTCCTCCTCCTCCTCCTCCTCCTCCCTCTCCTCCTCCTCCTCCTCCTCCCCCCCTCTCCTCCCTCCTCCCCCTCATCCCCCCCCCTCCTCCCCTCCTCCTCCCCCCTCCTCCTCCTCTCCTCCCCCCCCTCCTCCTCCTCCTCCTCCTCCTCCTCCTCTTCCTCCTCCTCCTCCTCTTCCTCCTCCTCCTCCTCCCGCATTCTGGGGCTTTTGGGCGTCTGCGTCGGTGCTCGGTGGTGTTCTCCAGTTTCGGGAAAGGCTCTCCAGAAGCTGCGCCTCGACGAGGGCGTTCCGGGGGTGCCCAGATCGTCCCAAGCGGCCGCTGGAGAGCTGTGTGTTATGGCCCGAACGCCACCGGGGACCTAGATCTCCCGCGATACATGATTCTCCCAATCACAGCGTGTTCCGCAGATTTCGGGCTATTGGGGCCCGTTACCATCGGACCGAAATATAAGATCGAGGTCGGTTTGGGGAGGGTACGTTAGTGTTCTTCTTGCTTGTCGTTTGTTCTTGTGCATCCTTGGGAAGGCTACCCTCGGTGATCTCATGGTTTGGGGCGTTTTGGCCGGCGGAGGGTCTCATGCTCTTGAAGGATGTTATTCCGTCCTTGGTCCGGCTGTATCGTGAGCCAGGACCATCAGACGTGGGCCTGGGGCGAAAAACTACCCCTGGAGATGTGGCCGGGACCTCGAGCAGTCGGGGGGCACTTGAGCGGCAGAAGAAATCGGGTTGGTCTTCACCGGCGCTGGCGCGTGAGCTGCCCGCGCAAGGCCGCGCGTAGGCGCTCTGGTCTTCACGCGGCATGCCGCGCTGGCCGCTCGCGTAAACCACTGCGTAGGGTCGCCATGTTTTCCTGCGTCTTCCTGTTTCTTGTCGTAGCTTCGCCTCCGGCTCCTGTCCAAGGCGTTCCTTTTCTTGTGCAAGGTCCTCAGCACCGCCTGCACCCCGGCCCGCCCTCCAGCCGCCTAAGGCCCCGCCCGCCTGTGCTCTGTCTCCCCAATTCGTGTTTTGCGCGGCCCGCCGAGCTCTTAACCGGAAGAGGCTCGCTCTCGACCCGCAGACCAAAAAAGTTTCTTGTCGTCGCTCGATCGTCGTCTGCCGCAGCGACGTGGGCCACGCCTCGCGCAGGCCAGAGCCGGTGGCGGGCGAGCAAAGTGTGCACCGATGCGGTGGGAAGAGGGTCATCGACGATAAAAGAACCCCGAGTTGAGCCTACATTCAAAGAACACAGCGATGACGTGGCCTCACTGAGGTCCCCGTCTTTGCATTAGAGGGGTAACAGATGTGTGTGGGGTTGGTTTGATACATCTACAGGAAAAACACCGATTCCTAAAATGTTGGGTCTTCCTGACTTAGGTCCCTTCCCAAAAGGTTAGGGGTCGATGTGTTGCTAGGATGCATATACAGAACAAACTGTTCCCAGTGTTTTTGGACCGCCAGGAGCCGATTTGTTGCTACTCTCAGGTGCGGAGCCGCGGAGCCGAGGAACGGCACAGGGAACAGGTATATGGGTTTCCGAGGGCCGCGCGGACCTCTATCAGGGGGGGGGAAGGCTCGCAGCCACGCAACTCGTCGTCGATTCTCCCAGGAAGGCACGGGAAAAATTGCGGGAAGGGGGGGGGAGACGAGCACCCAGCAGTTCTGGACAGATAGGGGGGGACTGCTGGGATTTGTGCCTGTGTGTTCGTGTGCCCCCGGGGCCCCCCCGCCCCCCCGCGCTCGGCAACGAGAAGGGGGATCAGCAAGTGCCAAACAGGCCCCTGCGGGCGACCGCTCGAATGCGGATGGGTGACCGACCAGCGGCGCCAGCCAGAGTAGGCAATACTCGACGCAAAGTGTACCCCGCGCGAAGGCTGTCAGGAATCCTGGCATCCCCAGAACGTATCAATACCACGTTGTGTCAATAGATCCTTCTCGTCCTCTTCTTGGGTCGGCTCGGGCCCCCCCCCGCTGGCGGGGCCCCGCGCCCCGCGCGCCGGGCGAAGGGGGGCGCCCAGCGGCGGGCCCTGCCTTGGAGTCCGCGTGGACTTCGGTGGCGAAGCGTTGGGGCCCTAGGGTGCCTTCTGTCTGGCCGGACGAAAGGGGGTGATTGGGAAAGGGGGGGGGTACGAAATTAGCTGCGTGCAGCTGGTTTCGGCCCCACCGAGGGGCCCATTCCTCGATGCATAGCCGCTTCCGGCGCCGGCAGGCGCCGGGAAAATCAGCTACGCGAGCTGATTCTCTCCCCCCCCTTTGCTATCCCCCCTTTTCGCCCGACCCGAAAAGCATGGGAGCCCAATGTGCCCTCTGGCTTCAGTCTTTCGCGTCGGTTTAGCATCGATTAGCGTCTGGAGTCGATGAGATAGCGCCGATCCAGCGGCGATTGAGCGTCCATTCGCAGGAGCCGACAGGATGGTATGGGATGCTCCAGTGAGTTGCCACCGAAGACTTCTGGCAGTCTACGCTCGTGCCGTTGCAGGTGGTTCCGCACTGCGAAGCGAGCGACGCCAGAAAACGGGGTCGCTTGCGCCGACGATGGCGCATAAACTGCCTGCGTGAGGTCTTGTGTGTAAGCGCCCTCGTTTCCACCGTTTGCGCGCCGCGCCGGCGGCAGCCGGAAGTCGCCGCGTAAGGTCGCTGCGGCATCTTGCGTAAGACCCGTTTCTTCTCGTCGATCCCCTCACACGTACCTTTCACACGTTTCGTGCCCCCGCAGGGTTCCGCCGACGGCGCCCCCCCCTCCTCTCTTTGTGATAATTTACAAGGCACATCCACGCACATGGAGCGCGCTGGCAACAATGATATATACATACACATATATACATATATATGTGGTTATATCTATGTATATATACACATGTAGACATAGGAGTATGTATGTGTACACACACATTTATATATATATATATATATATATATATGTGTGTCTATGTTTGTGCGAAAGAGGGCGTGGCCAAGCTCCCGAACACTGTTGAAACACAAGAGCTGATCAGTGACTTACAAGAAATTCAGATCGATTCGTTGAGATGGGCTGGCTTCCCGGACGTTGTGATGAGCTCTTTGGGTTGGTCGGGCTCTTTTGGGCTTCCTGAGACAGGCGAGCATCGGAACCGCGATGTCCAGACCAGGAGTACAGCCATGTTTCGGCGCGGGTTTGCCAGGTCTCACAAGGAGGACCGAGCTCTCCAGGAAAAGCTTGGTTCGCGTCGTATGTTTGCCGAGTTTGCAGTTCAGGTGTGTCAGGGCCCCCTCTTCGATGCGGGTGTGGGCGCGCGCGTGCTCAAGGGGGTCAGGCTGTCATGCCCTCCAGGACCATTGTTCAAGAATGCGCAGGGTCTGGGACGGGGTGGAGCTCGGGCGGCGGGGACAGGGTGGGTGATCTTAGTATCAAGTGCGGCGGCCACGCTTGGGCAGGGGCCGATTCGCTGTGCAGGTCCTGCCCGAGCGTGCCGCCTTCCAAGGCCGTCAACTGCCAGAAGGGGAGACCCCTTCAAAGCCTTTTCCCCCCGGGCCCAGCAGTACGAAGGATGGGCGGTCAGCCATCAGAGAGCGCCTCAACCGTACCATTCCTGGCAGTGATGAAGGCTGCCAGGAAAGGAGTGGTGATCCACAATTGCCACTTGAACCTCAGGTCGAAGACGCAACTTGGGGAAAGAGCTGGACGTTGCCAGCCGTGTGCGATCGGTTTGGCACAACGATGTAGTAGAGAGGATAGAGGACAGATGGGCAGGAGGAGGAGGAGGAGGAGGAGGAGGAGGAGGAGGAAGAGCAGGAGGAGGAGGAGGGGGAGGAGGAGGAGGAGGAGGAGGAGGAGGCGGAGGAGGAGGAAGAGGAGGAGGAAGAACAAGAGTAGGTGGAGGAGGGGAACCGTAGCCATTTGGGTTCGAGCCTGTCTGGCTCAGTGGCGCCACCCTCGTGTCGGGTGTCCTTTGGGGCGAGGCGGGTGAGACGGGTGCGTCGTTGGCGGTGGCGCGCGGCGAAAAATCCAGCTTTTTGTTGGTGCCCGCGGGGGGCTCCTTCCCCCGTCGCTTCCATGGGCTTCCCTGGTGGCGGCGCGGGGCAAGGAGAAGTCGCCGAGACCATGGACGTCCTCAAGTCTCATCCGAAGGGCCTGTGCAAGACCAAGGCGCTCCCGTTGGACGAGAAGTCTCTCACGGAACTCGTGGAGATCCCCGCCGCTGACGTGATGACCCTCAGGCTTGGGGCATCATTGACAAGCTGGACGAGTCGGCGCCCATCGACGCCTTCGGCATGCCTGCATCTGGGCAACGCTTCCGGCGACGTGGAATTCATGTTTTTCGTGTCCCACCCGCGGTGGTGCCGTCCCTCGAGGTCCTCAAGGTGTTCTGGTTGGCAAGTGGCACAATCGTGCCTTTTGGTGTTCGCCAAGTTGGTACTGCGTGACATGCCGTGGCAGGTGCGGAGGCCGCTGTAACCCCAGCTGCGTACGGCGAGGGCATGTCTGGACCGGCCTCTGCGTGCTGGATCACGTGCGCGTGCGGGTCTTCCCGGGGGCAGTTGACGCTTTTTCGGGCCTGGCTCTATGGGTATGGCATCTTCTCTCGTGCGCGTGGCATCGGTTTTGGGTGGCATATATTTGCGCTGTCGTGGCCGGCTGGACGACTTCATCTTCGTGGGGTTCGGCCTGTTCGCTCCCCTCGTCTGAGGGCTTGGGGTCCCCGTCTCAATGGCGGATCGTGTCCCCTTGTGAGCCACCCAAGAGGAGGAGGCTCGGCTCGGCTCCTCTGCGCGGCGTGATCCTCTGTGCGCGGCGAGAATTTCAGGCAAACCTGGTTATTTCAAATAGCCGCACTTTGATGGACGCCTCGCAGCCTGCCAGGGGAGAGGGAGGGGGAGGGGGGGGGGCGAAAAAGGAAGAGGGGGGAGAAAGGGCCCGGCCAGCTGCCGACTGCGCCCGCGACGCTGCGGCGGACTCGCTGGAGGCCGCCATGCGGGGCGTGCTGGCCGTTCACTCTGGAACGATACATGGGATGACGCGCGCGCGTGCACATATGGAAGATACGTGTTGACAAAACACTGTCTTTTTCCACGCCCCAGCAACGACGAGGACGAAACGGGGACGACAGCAGGAGGGGGGAACGACGGGCGAGAGGAGCGACAAAGGCCGCGGAGCCGGGAAAAGAGGAGAGCGCAACAGCAGAAACCGCGGAAGAGAGGCGAGGAAGGGGAGGAGAAAGCAGGCAAGCAGCGGAGGGGGGCGTGGCAACCTGGAAAACTACATGTTTCTCTCAAGCCTGGGATGGCAGACGCTGCCGGAATCAGTGCCTGTCCATTCCTAGCTGGGTCAGGAGCTCCTGCGCCCTCTTCTCAAGAGAGCCCTTGGGTGGCTGGCCGTGCATGCGTTTGGCCTGCTTCTTCGTGTAGATGGCAGCGATCGCGGCGCATACGTGAGCCTCCATTTCCTCGCGTCCTCGGCCGCTCAAACGGAAGTACAACGTTTCACCGTGCCGTCATGCGCCTTGTTCAACCGACAGCAAGGAACGACGGCCTGCACTGCTTCTGCGGACGGGCCTGGCTCTGACGGCGGCGGAAACTTCTCGAGGAACTCAACGAAGGCATTCTTGCGCGGCTCCGGGCAGGCCGCGTTCCCGAGCAACAGCACCAGCATGGCGACGAAACGCGGCGGATCAGGGCCGCCTTCGCCGTGCCCTGACCTTCCCCTGGTGCGGTCTGCATGCTTCGTGGTCTGGGTTGCCACAGCCTGCGCGATATCGATGGTGACATCGCACTAGAAGCACACGAAGGTGACACCCATGACGGCCCTCATTTCCTGCGCGTTCTTCAGACCGAGCTTCGTGATGACTGCAATGAGCTCCCAGATCGAAGCTGGCTCGTCGTCTCCCCCACCAGCTCTCCTCTTGGACCTCGGCTCGGCGTCCTGGCCGAGGAAGAGCTTCCACGCGTCCACGTTACTGATGACACTCGAAGCCGAACCACAAATCCGCCGGAAGATGAGCTTGCACATGAAAGAAATACGAATATTGATCTAAAAATCTACGGTCATCTTCGCAAAGCGGGCATTCGATGGGACACGACAGTGGGATGACCTTCTCGTACCGTGTTAGATCCCTTCGACCACGCCTCCCTGCAGAAACCACGGCGAAGGCTCGCTTGAAGGTTATCCTGTGTGATACGTTTAGTGGCGTGTGCAGCGCGACAACGGATACATTGATTAGTACGTGTAAGTACATGTGCCAGCCAGTGGATACCATGCACCCCTGTCTACTCTGCAATTGATGCACACGTAACCCTTTTGCTGTACTGAATGACTGCCTGCACACATTCCCACATACATCCACGATATCACATACGTACTGCACATTACCATCAGGAAGATGAACACAACCAGGATAAAGAGGAGGAGGATCATATGCAGGAGGAGGTACTGCAACGGAAGAAAAACGTGAACCGATGATACCCACATCCGCCAACAAGAACACATTCTTGGCGCGCAAAGCCTCTCACGGTGCCTGTGCCATCACGGAGCACCCCGGCGGCGCCAAGAGCTACCGGGCCCAGTCCAACCATGATGTTCTCCGCAAGTTGCGACTCTTGCCTGCTAACGTGGAATTGCGAGTGCAACGGCTGCGGTGGCTGCGGGCGATGGTCCGATACCCCGCTGACAACGCGTTGGTACTGGCCGTCTTGTACGGCAACCTCGAGGAGGACATGAAGTCTGTTCTTTCCGATGCCGGCCGCTGTCCGTGAACAGCCGTAGCGGGTGTTGCACAGCGTCGGCAATGTCTTCGGAACCAATGATGTCTGCCAGCGCAGCCAAGTCTTCGGCGATCTGCAACGCCCAACGGTGTGCATTTGGGAGCAGACGGCCTGCATTGGAAAGAACAGGCTTCTTGTCCTCCTCGAGGGTGCCGTACAAGACGGCCAGTACCAACGCGTTGTCAGCGGGGTATCAGACCATCGCCTGCAGCCACCGCAGCCGTTGCACTCGCAATTCCACGTTAGCAGGCAAGAGTCGCAACTTACGGAGAGCATCATGGTTGGACTGGGCGCGTTAGCTCTTTGCACCGCCGGGGTGCTCCGTGATGGCACAGGCACCGTCCACTGTTTAGGACGCGCGTGGATCGCGCAAGACCTCGGGCATCCAACTGCACTCCATGTTGATGGCGTATTTGTGCAGCCTGGGGTCGTCCAGCGCATCGCGAAAAAGGGGGCAACAACCATGGTCCTGCCACTGTGTCCCCAGGAAGCGTTCCCTGACGAATGTCAAGTTCTGCAAACCCATCCAAACAACGTAATTACTTTGGCTGAAGCATATTGGACGCGTTGAGACAAGTGTCGGGCATCAGCGTCGTTACATACAGCCGCCGCGTACCCTTCGAGCTCTTGCTGGTCTGCGCAGGCAAAGGCGTTGGACATGTCCAGGAGGGCAGCGGTGTGGGAAACGCCATTCGAAGCTAAGCGCTCACGCAGGACTCTTTGAGACAGAATTGTCTGCTCGCGCCGCCTCCGTGGCATGTATGCGCATGCATAATGACGGCCAGCTGCGTGGTAAGTGCGCTTCCACAGCCCAGCGTAGAAGGCTTTGCCGTACATGCGCGTCCAAGGTATGAAGCGGTCGGTGCCCCTCGTGCCCCTCTTTCCTGTTGTTCTTCGGCAAAGCAAACTGTTCGCTGGTGTGCCAGGCGAAAGGGGTGTCTCTCGTCGCCTCCATGTTGGCGTGCAGCAAGCGCATGGTGTCGTGAAACACATTGGCTTCGATGCGATCGCCCCCGCTGCCCAGTCCCCGTGTGCGGCTCCTGCGGCACTCGTCAGGGAACATGAGCATGCGTCAAATCGCCACAGGGAAAGATCCGTCTGGGGCTTTCTTACGAAGAGTTGCTCTGCGGACGGCGGCTCGAGTCTCACGATATACCGTGCCAGACCGCACCCACTGCTCCTGACTCCATGTGATGGGGTCTGCGGGCTGCATTCGGCGATTGCGTACAGAAGACAGGTCGGCCACTTCCCCACTATCTCCTCCCTCGTGCCCTGGCCGAGAAAAATGCTCAACAGTTTCGGCAATCGTGAGCAACGGGGAACCAACCGCTGACAACAGTTCTTTCTTCGGCCCAAATGAATGACCCGATAATCTCCGTGAAATGCTCCACATGGTGGAAAGCGATCTCCTCCCCCACGCCTCCTCCAATTCCCCCATAAGTGCCTGCACCCCCTCCCTCTGAACAGCCCTTTTCCTCTGATTGACCCTTGTTGTCGTAGCCTTGACATGTTGTTTAGCTTGTTGCACATGCGGTATGTCCTCCGCTTCCTCCATGAGGCCGGGGGGTGGATGGGGAAGTGTATGAAGAACGTGACGGGCGGCAGCACGATCGGGTCTGGCTCTCTGAAGTGCCGCCGGCTCTGCTACTCGAGTGGACACGCAATTCGCAAACAGAAGGATGGCAACGTCCAGCACTTCCTTTGGAACAGTATCGAACACTGCGTTTGGGTGTCGGTACTGGGATTGACGTGACAATTGCTCCCTCCGTGTAGCGAGCCTCCTGTCAACTTCGTCGACGAACTCCTTCCTCCCGTACCCGTACAGTAGACACTTGTTGATTTTGTCATGGTTCCAAACTGTTGCGTGCGCAGCAGGTCCTGCGTAGGGCAAACCGACACGAACCCGCACAACAGGAGGACGATGATCGCGACGCGCCTCGACATTGACAAGCTGCAGTGCGTCGCCTGCTTTGTGCCATACCCGGGCCTCTTGCACTGGCGTGCACGCAGGAACGAGGACATAGTCTGGACGAGACGCATACTCCCCCCCATTGTGGTAGCACGTCGGACCTGTGTTGAAGAACGTATTGGCGAGTTTGAGGTGATGCCTCTCACAGAAGTCCCGCAAACATCCCCCATTGTAGTTTTCAGCCTCGGTTTCACAGGGCCCGATAGCAGACGAACGAGTGGACGACCAACTACCTTCTTCCCGAGAGAGCCCCACATGTCCATTAGCATCCAGAGCACCCACTGGCACGCACCGATGGGGTAGAACATCCAGAAGAGCGCGGAACCACCCAAATAATATGTTGCTGGTTTGCTTGTCGCTGGCCTTTTTGGGGGGCTCCTGAGGGGCATACCCAACGAAGAAAACTTATGTCGATCGTAGGTGTTTTAACACGTACTCCCCCCACACGTCCTTTGAGATCACGATGTCCTCCAAAGTCCCACCAATCGAAAACTCTCCGAATAGATTCTTGATTGAAGAGCCGCCGATGAAGAAGAAGAGCAAGACCGGTACCACGCATGCGATTGCCCCCCTGATCCCATCGAATACAATGAAACACGTCGGCCCTCGACAATGTGTGCTCGTCCTCTGTGCTGACATGCGTTGCAGGAAGAGCGACTGCTGCACATGCCCGGAACTGCCCATCAATATCCTCCCACCTGCCCGACTGCCGCATCGAGCAGGGGTTGTACACGCACACTTGCAGAGATGGCATGTCAAAATCAAGAACAAGACACCATGGAACCTGCAATAGTGAGGAGACGTCCAACGAGAATGGGGCAATACGGTATCGGACCGAAGGGGGGAACAGAACATGCAGTAAGCCGTCGGGTATGCCTTTGCACCCTGCAACGGAGGGGGAGGAGGAGGAAGAGGAGGAGGAGGAGGAGGAGGAGGAGGAGGAGGAGGAGGAGGAGGAGGAGGAGGAGGAGGGGGAGAAGGAGGAGGAGGAAAGGGAAGAAGAGGAGGGTGAGGAGGAGCAGGAGGAGGAGGAGCAGGAGGAGGAGGAGGAAAAGGAGGAGGAGGAGGAGGAGGAGGAGGAGGAGGAGGAGGAGGGAGAGGAGGAGAAAGGAAAGGGAAGGCGGAGGTGCAGGGAGAACGTCCGAAAACCTGTTCGGGCCTCGCTGCCCTCCAGGAGGAGGCAGGCCCCCTGGTGAACACCCCCGCGGGGCTGCTGCGGGGCACGCTGCGGGAGGGCGTGGCCTGCTTCCTCGGGGTGCCGTTCGGGCGGCCGCCCGTCCGGTTCGCGGCGCCCGAGCCAGCGGAACCGTGGGGCGGCGTGCGGGACACCACGAGGACTTTGGGAGGGACCCGCGGCGCTGCAACACACGGGGGGGCCACGTGCGAGCCCTACCCCTTCCCCCCACGGCTGCTGAAGGGGAGGGTGGATTTCTCTTCGCTCGGGAGCTCCCGAACGAAGTGAACCCCAACCCTCCCCCTCAGAAGTCGTGGGGGGGGCAGGGGTAGGGTTCGCACGCGGCCCCCTAACTTTGGAGAGGGACCCGCGGCGCTGCAGCACAGCAGACATCGTGGCGGCCTGTTTTTCAGCGTTCTCCGTCTCTGGCGGCGGAGGCCGCTCACCTGCCCGGGGCTCTGCGGGAACGGCCTGGGATGGACATCCGGCCCTGGGGAGAAGCCGAGTTTCTCAACGGCACCGTAACGGGTACCTACTAACGGGTACTTTGAATTTTTGCCGAAAGTTGCCACTTTAGGGCCTTTTTCTTGCATTGCAGCTTTGCCCACATCGGGAAGGGCTGGGTTCGCTGGGTCACTGGCCAAAGTACCCGTTAGTGGAGTCCCCGTTTGAGAGGCGCTGATAGTTTCCCGCAGGCCGACGCCACGAGGACTTCCGGGGGACGGTGGGTGTCAGGTTGTCAGTGGAGGAAAAGGTGCCGATACCGCTGCTAATCCTCGAGATCTGTCGTCGCAACGGCTGGATTCGCCTCGGGATTCTGGTCAGAGCGCACCCGGGGGCAGGTCTTGCAGTAGCGGTATCGGTATCGTCGGGTTCCCCCAACGTTGGTTTGGCCCACGCCCCAGGAAGGGGATGGTCTCTATGACCGCTTTTTCCCCCCCTCCAGCTGTGCGGCGTTTCCCCCCGGACCCCCCCCATTTCGGGTCCTCCCCCCTCGAGCTCACTGGTACTCCCCCCCAGCTGTCTGGCGTTTTGCCCTCCACCGCCCCTTCTTTTCGGGTCCTCCCCTCATCAACGCTACGCCTCGTCGTTGTTCAAACTTTGTGTCTTGTCCGTACGTGTTTTGCACAAAAGTCTGGTCGCCGTTCAACAGTAACACGCTGATGGGGTCGTTCGACCTGCGTGACAGTGATATTGTTTCTGCTCTCCGAAGAGTGTCGCCGTGAGTCGAGCAAGACACACAGCTGCATAAACACAAACGTTTTTCGGATCTGTGCTGGACCCCATGGCGGCACCTCCAGCGCCGCCCCTGGCGCGCTCCGCGCGCCAGTGAAGGGGGGGGTCCGGCGCCGATCCATACAATCCGCGCGGGCTTTCGAAAACTTGTGTTCAGTTGTTTATGAGTACGAGTGGCGTAGCCAAATATATCGCGAAGGCCTTACGGCCGGTGCCGCCGACCCTGAAGACGACGAAGATGAGAACGAGGGTGAGGAGGAGCAGGAGGAGGAGGAGGAGGAGGAGGAGGAGGAGGAGGAGGAGGAGGAGGAGGAGGAGGAGGAGCAAAGGGAGGAGGAGGAGGAGGAGCAAAGGGGAGGGGAGGAGGAGGAGGAGGAGGAGGAGGACGAGTGGCGTAGGTTCGAGAGTGTACGAGTGGCGTAGCCAAATCTGTTCGACGATGTGTCTGTCTCTCCAGTCTTGGAGCGGGCCTCCGTCGCTCTGCATAGAGGGCGGGCCTCGCCGTCGCGCGGCCCGCCGCGGCCCCGACCGCGACGAGCCGTCTCGCTGCTCTCGAGCCGAACATCTTTCAGGAGGGGAAAAAACACACAGACACAACGAGTCGTCGATTCCCCAGAAAATATGGGAAGATATGGGAGGTGGGGGGGAAGACAAGAACCCAGAACATATGCGAACATATGGGGAAGCCTGTTATTCGTGTGTATTTTTAATATTTGATTGTTATATCTCTCGCTTCGTTGAGGCCCGCAACTGTCAGCGTGCCTGTCTGTAACTATTTCGCTCAAGTCTTGAGGGCCGATGTGGCAGCAGCGTCTCCAAGATTTAGCTGTCAACGGCCTGCTTTCGTACCTCAGCAGGTGCCCCGCAGCTCCTCCTTGTCCCGCGGTGCCAGCCTGCCCCGCGTCAGCCGCTGTCACTTGCGGATCGTGCCCGCCTTGCCCAAGCTGTCCCGCTCTGAGCTGTGGGAGGCAGCCCGAGGTGACTGAGTGTCCGTCGACGACACCAGCGGCTCCGTGTGCTTGGGCCTTTGGCTGACGGTGGGCGTCCTCATCGGCGTGGTGGTGAGTTGGGCCGCAGTGCTGGCCCTTGGAGTCCTACGAGGGTTGCTCAGCCGTATTCGTGAGGTGCTTGGTGCCTCGTCGGATTCGGCTTCTTCAGTGACCATCGGCTCTCACAATGGACACGTTAGTCCCAATGATGAGGGAGGCATGTTCTGGCATAGCCGTATTCTAGTGAAGAAGATCACAGCGGGGGTGTGGATTGCGATCGCCCCCGACTGAGAGTTTGTGCGTCACAACCTTCTAGAGCAGCGTCACCTCGTCTTGGACCGCAATTCGATGTTCCCTGCGAATCGTCGGGGCGAGGTGTATGGCTTCGACCCTGTGCCTCGAGCTGAGATTCTGGCTCTGAAAAGGCAGCTGCAGTTCAGGCAGCAATATTGGGTGACGGCGACCATGACGTTGAGATGGAGAACTTCGTTTGGGTCGTCGCGGAGGTAGGTCACTCACGGTTCGCCCAGCCCCTGGTCGATGCAGAGTTAGACCAGGCTTCCTTGGGGCAGTCCAAGGGCGTGGCGTTGGTGAGTGGCCTCGAAGTGTTCATAGAGAAGGTTCAGAACAATCAGTTGCAAGAGTGGATGACCTCACGTAGCTCGGAGGGTGGAGACCTACGCACTTTGGGCGACCATCGGGACTCCGCAGGCCGCCATCATCTGCCACCTTCCGACGCTATATCCCTGATGCGCGAGACGAGCTTCGACGATTGGGCCATGCCTGGACCACGGGTCGCCAAGGAGTGGCTCGTTTCAGTTCGGGATGGCCCTGGAGATCTTTCTTCTTATCACGGACAATGGGTTCGCCGTTCGGGAGTCAGCGAATCCTCGGCGGTGGCCCACATTCATTACGTGCTGTGCGAGTCGGTTCGGCTGGCCATTCAGACAGACCAGCTCGACGTGACCAACTTGTTGAGCTTCGAACTCATCATGCGCAGGATCTGTCAGGACGAGACCGCGGTGGCTCGTAACCCTCGCCATCCTGACTACGGTGGGCTGGAGATTTTGCTTCGCGCTCCAACCGCCGAGCAAGGCCAGGCGAGCGCGAACAGGTTCACGGAGTGGGTCACGGGCCGTCCCAAGGAGCAGGCCGCGATCTACAAGCAGACTCGGTTGTGGAACGAGGAGCAGCGGGCCATGCAGAACTCTCGTGCCCCCGCAGACTCAGGCCGAGGACGAGGTCGCGGTCGCGGGCGCGGCCGAGGTGAGAAGGGGGGCAAGGGCGAGGAGGAGGCCCTGGGGTGGCCGCGGCCTTCCGGGCCGAGTCCGATCCCCGAGCTCGGCCCGACGCTCCTGCTACGGATCGGGGACATACTGCCCGGTGGAGGCCCTCAAGACGGAGGCACGGGGACCCTTTCCCTCTGCCGCATTTTTTGCCCTCTCAGCTCGACAGCTCGGGCTTGGGCTCCGAGCAGCGACAGCGAGTGCTCTCGGCGCGGGCTTCGCTCAACCATCTCGCTGCCGCTCAACCGAATTCAGATAGTGTTTGCCAGGCTCGCCAGTCATCTCGGGCCCCGACTGCCGTTCAGGAATGGATCCTGGACAGCATCACGGAGCGCGTTGCCGCTGTGGCCCCCCCCCCCGCCTGGCCTCGCGGCCGAGGGGGCCGCTCGCGAGTTGCTGGCTTCTAAGGACCTGTACTGCCAGGGGCCGAAGAACCTCGCGCCGTTCGATCTGACAAAGCTCAAGGTCGCTAAGGGGCGCGCTCGACCTCGCTCTGCGGCTAACTTCTTGCCGCCTTTGCCCGCGGACATGATCCGCAACCCTGCACTGTGCATCGAGAAGGATGAGGGGGGATGGAGTTCACGCGTCAGCACACCGATCCTATTCGTCCTTACTGGGCTCCTGTGCTTCGCTCGAGTCGGACAGAGCGTTGGCGACTCTTCAGGGTGTTGTATGAGCTAGGGCTGATAACTTTCAGGCGTCGTCTCCGGGCTCGTGCTGCCCTCTTCTTTGTGAAGAAAAAGAAACCAGGTGAGATTAGCATGATTGTGGATGCTAGACAGGCCAATTCGTGCCATCGTGCCCCTCCGATTTCAAGACTCGGCTCAGCTGGGGCCCTTGCGGACCTCGACCTCTCCGTGGGTGGCGAGTCCGTCGACGGTGTCCGCAGTGTGATAGGCTGGGACCCCCACGGGAACGAGGCCGACGTCGAGGACTGCTTCTACAACTTCGCCATCGATGGCTTGGCGGAGTGGTTCGGTTTCGACGACCCGCTGCCCGCCGCCGAGATCAGGGACACGTACGGCATCAACGTCGGGGCGTCTGGGACCCCGAGCTGAACACGATGGTCTCCGTGGAGGACGACATGGTCTTGTATCCGTGCATGCGCGCTATGTGCATGGGGTGGTCCTGGGCTCTGTACTTTGCGCAGGAGGCTGTATCCGCTATGACAGAGCAGGCGCTGCGCTCGTCGTCTCTACCGACGCCTGCCATGGTGAAGGAGCATCATCCCGCCCCCGACTTGAATGAGTCTAAGGTCATGGGAAGCGTCTACGTGGACAACGTCGCCGTCTTCGGCAGGGGCGCTTCTCTAGCTCGTGAGGCGAGCTCCGCCCTGCAGGCCGAAGCTGACCGATCTGGTTTGCCTATCACGTGGTCCTACCCTGATGTGGTGACCCACCTCGAGACCGTAGGTGTTGAGATCGACCTCAGGAAGGGGAAGCTTCGCAACAAGGCCTCCCGAGTGTGGCGGTTTGACTTGGCCACCGGCGCTCTCCTGCGTCGTGGCAAGATGCGAGGAGAGCACATGGAGGTCTGGCTGGGCCACGCTGTATCACTGCTGATGCTGGCCAGGCCCGGGTACGCCGCGCTTTCAGCCACGTGCCGGTTCGCCGAGACCGCCTGGGGCGTTCGGACCCCTCTGCCGCGCGA